GACAGACATTGAAACTTTTTATGAGGTGAGGTCACTTGAAGTGACCTAGTGACCTGACCTTGAATGACCTTGGTCTGAAATTTTCACAACATGTGTAGAATTGATGTATGATAAGGTGTACCAAAAACGGCGGCGCTCCGCGCCGCCGTTTTTGAGATATTCGCGAAAAACCACAAGGGGGGGTGTTCAAACACCCCCCAGCAGGGCGCGGGTTAACAAACGCAAGAAAACTGATAGGTGTGGCTAAAAACGCCCCCACCCCACTTAGGCGGAGGTTAAAGTGTTTTGGTAGCAAACTCAACGAGTGTTTCCTGGTCAAGTCTTCTACAGCAATCACAAACACATTTCGATTCGCGGCCAACCATGCAAAACATAGCCCGGTGAAGGACTGCTCTGGTTGTTTTTTTTTCAATAGAAAAACACAATTCTAACGAATAGTGTTTGTCTAATGAAGAAACGACCTGCGGTAACCCGCCGCCAAACGAGAGGATGAGCCTGGCACGTGCAGACCGGAGTGGGTGTGCTACTAGCTGACGAACATGACACTCTACTAACCACTCTAGCGGTGTGCAAAATTTGAGTGCAATCGGCCCAGCCGTTTTCGAGATCTTGAAGCGGCACCCTTCACGTGCGCACGTGCAAGTTGGGTCCCAATTGTGTTGTGCACGGCACCCTAGTTGCCGGTCTCTAGCGGTGTACCGAATTTAAGCTCAATCGGCCCAGCCGTTTTCAAGATCTGGAAGCGACCCCTACACGTGCGCACGTGCAGTTGCACCCCAACCGTGACACATGAATATACATACTAACTGACTTGTGCACAGCACCCTACTAACCGGTCTCTAAAGGTGTGCCGAATTTGAGCACAGTCGGTCCAGCCGATCTTGAGATCTGGAAGCGTCACCCTGCACGTGCGCACGTGCAGGATGGGTCCTATCTGACTCGCGCACGGCACCCTACTAATCAGTCTCTAGCGGTGTACCAAATTTGAGCTCAATCGGCCCGGCCGTTCTCGAGATCTGGAAGCGTCACCCTGCACGTGCGCACGTGCAGTTGCACCCCAACCGTAGCACATGGAAACGCATGGTTCGGTGTGTGCCTACAACCTTGTTAAGTTTCAGCGCAATCAGCCTAGCACTTACCGTGTTATTGTCATAACAACAAAAGTGACACCTCTCCGTTTTACACGTGTCACGTGCAGTGGGGGTCACCCGCATGCATCGTGCATAGTAAACTGCTTGTAAGAAGGGTATACCCTACCCCACACAAAAAACCGCAAGTGAATCAGTCCAGTGGTTGCTGAGATATAACTCCTGCAAAAACGTCCCCACGGCGGCCGGCTGCTAATTTTTAAATCGCATCCTTCAATTAGAGGTATCCCCGTCACCTGTTCGTATACTGTCTGAGCCAAGACCATATATAGGTGTGAGCTCAAATCTCGGTAATGTCGTGTTTTTATACTAAATTTCTCAAAAACGGCACAACGTGCAATAACGCTCTATATATCATTGGAAAGAGCATCAAAAGTTGTATATCCTATCAACTTTTCACTTGAATATGTCTTCAAGGTACAAAGTTATTAAGCACCAAAGACGCTCCCATTGACTTTCCAGGTTAAAATTTTTCAATTTTAAACGAGCATAAAAAGAGCAAACGAATTCTGACAGCTTAACGAAGCATAACAACATGTTCTATGGTCGTTTCTCAACAGGTCCTGAAAGTTTAAACAAAATCGTATCATATAATTTTGTACAATGAGCGAATGAAAATGTCTCTGCAAAAACGCCCATTGACTTAACATGGGGAGCGAAAAAAGTTCAACTTCAAACTCGTGCATCTCAAGTTAACGAATTCTGACGGGTATACGGCGCACACGGGCGTGTACCTGAACGTGTCGGTCATAAAATGGTGTGCAGCAAACCATACCTTGTTCCGCGATTTTTTCCGCTATTCGCGATCGCGCAAAAAGTGTCCAAAACCCCGTTGACTTAACATGGGGAAAATGGAATCGCACGTGCCACGTGCCACGAGGTTTTAAGCGAGTAGCGAACGGTGCCATAAGGTAGATCGCCTGCGGGAGCCCATACCCTGAACTTTTTACGAAGATTGTACATTTCGTCTAGGCCCCGCTCAAGTTGCCCCAATTCGCGGCCAGACTTGCAAAACATAGCCCGGAGAACGACCGCTCCGGTTGTTTTTCAATAGAAAAACACAATTCTAACGAATAGTGTTTGTCTTTTCAAACAACCTGCGGTTATTCCAAACACAAACTTTCAAATATGTGACGTCACAGCCCAAAATTACCTCCTTCCCCAGGCCACATTACCAGCATCTGCGATGCTGGGCTCCGCATCGCGGGACCGCAGGTTGTTTGAGCAAGCACCTCTGAAAACGCAGCAAAAACGCCCGCCACCAAACGAGAGAACGAGCATTGCAAGTGCAGACCGGAGTGTGGGAGCTACAAACTGACGTGCACGGCACCCTATTCGCCGTTCTATAGCGGTGTGCCAAATTTGAGTGCAATCAGCCCGGCCATTTTGAGATCTGGAAGCGTCACCCTGCACGTGCGCACGTGCAAGCTGTGTCCAATTGACTTGTGCATGGGACCCTATTCGCCGGTCTCTAGCGGTGTACCAAATTTGAGCTCAATCGGCCCCGCTGTTTTCAAGATCTTGAAACGACCCCTACACGTGCGCACGTGCAGTTGCATCTCAACCGTGACACATGGAAATACATACCTACTAACTGACTTGTGCACGGCACCCTACTGATCGGTCTCTAGATGTGTGCCGAATTTGAGTGCAATCGGTCAAGCCGTTCTTGAGATCTGGAAGCGTCACCCTGCACGTGCGCACGTGCAGGATGGGTAGTAACTGACTTGCGCACGGCACCCTACTAACCGGTCTCTAGCGGTGTACTAAATTTGAACTCAATCGGCCCGGCCGTTCTCGAGATCTGGAAGCGTCACCCTGCACGTGCGCACGTGCAACCTGGGGCCCAGCTGACCTGTGCAAGGCACCCTACTACGCGATCTCTAGCGGTGTGCCAAATCTGAGCACAATCGGCCCGGCCGTTCTCGAGATCTGGAAGCGTCACCCTGCACGTGCGCACGTGCAGTTGCACCCGAATCGTAGCACATGGAAATACGTACTAAATGATTGTAACCTACTGATCGGTATCAAGCGTTATGCCAAATTTGAACACAATCGGTCCAGCCGTTCGTGACATCTGGAAGCGTCAGTCTGCACGTGCGCACGTGCGTAACGGATCCCATCTGACTTGTGCACGGCACCCTACTAACCAACCTCTAATGGTGTGCCAAGTTTGACTACAATCGGTCCAGCCGTTCTCGAGATCTGGAATCGTCACCCTGCACGTGCGCACGTGCATTTGCACCCCTACCAAGACACATGGAAATGCATCGCGTGAAAAGTGTCTACCTCCATGCCAAGGTTTAGCGCAATCGGCCCAGTAATTACCGGGCTATTGCGCTTATTACAAAACAGGCACCTCTTGGCTTTGCACGTGGAACGTGCGTTAGGGGTCACCCATATGCATCGAGAGTACACTATGTGAAAGAAGGGAAAAAGCTACCCCACACAAAAAACCGCAAGTGAATCAGCCCAGTGGTTGCCGAGACATAAGTCGTACAAAAACGTTCCCACGGCGGCCCGCCGCTATTTAGCAGAAAAATCGTGTCGCATCCTTTTATGGGAGGTATCCCCGTCACCTGTTCGTATACTGTCTGAGCAAAGGCCATATGGGTGTGAGCTCAAATCTCGGTAATGTCGTGTTTTTTTACTAAATTTCTCAAAAACGGCACAACGTGCAATAACGCTCTATATATCATTGGAAAGAGCATCAAAAGTTGTATATCCTATCAACTTTTCACTTAAATATATCTTCAACGTACAAAGTTATTAAGCACCAAAGACGCTCCCATTGACTTTCCAGGTTAAAAATTTTCAATTTTAAACGAGCATAAAAAGAGCAAACGAATTCTGACAGCTTAACGAAGCATAACAACATGTTCTATGGTCGTTTCTCAACAGGTCCTGAAAGTTTAAACAAAATCGTATCATACAATTTTGTACAATGAGCGAATGAAAATGTCTCTGCAAAAACGCCCATTGACTTAACATGGGGAGCGAAAAAAGTTCAACTTCAAACTCGTGCATCTCAAGTTAACGAATTCTGACGGGTATACGGCGCACACGGGCGTGTACCTGAACGTGTCGGTCATAAAATGGTGTGCAGCAAACCATACCTTGTTCCGCGATTTTTTCCGCTATTCGCGATCGCGCAAAAAGTGTCCAAAACCCCGTTGACTTAACATCGGGAAAATGGAATCGCACGTGCCACGTGCCACGAGGTTTTAAGCGAGTAGCGACCGGTGCCATCAGGTAGATCGCCTGCGGGAGCCCATACCCTGAAATTTTTACGAAGATTGAGCGATTCGTTTAGGCCCCGGTCAAGTTGTACTGATTCGCTGCCAGACTTGCAAAACATAGCCCGGAGAACGACCGCTCCGGTTGTTTTTCAATAGAAAAACACAATTCTAACGAATAGTGTTTGTCTTTTCAAACAACCTGCGGTTACTGTCATAAAGCTGATACTCTGTAGGCACCACAACAAAGTTAAGACCAAGTTTTAAGCGATTTTTCAACGAACAAACCCATTTAAATCAGAATGACTAAACGAGGTGACGTCACACTAACGGTCGCTCCATGTTGAAGATAGGGCCTTGTACAAGGCCCATTTTCAAATGAAGGGAACGAATTTCTTCAACACCAAGAGGCCGCGGGGGTTGCAACCTAGATATATAGTGGTTTCTGAACCTCGCCGCAAACTTGGCTATCTCAACTCAAACCCCATGTTAAAGGTGGGATAGTCCCTTTAATGTTCACATGCGTTCATTCAATATGCCTAAAGTCTCGTTTATATGTATTCCGGAATTTCGGCATAGCTTTGATCACATGGCATGGCTTCCCTTTCTTTCGCAGCGCAAGCACCTTCTTCCGAGCCGGAGCCGGAGCCGACGCCTGTATACTGGAACCCGAAGAACCCCCAGCCGGAGCCGGAGCCCCAGCCGGAGCCTCATCCAGAGCCTGAGCCTGAGCCTCACCCGAAGCCGACGAAGCCAGTTGCCCCGCAGCCCAAGAAGGAGCTCTCCTCCGAGTCGAAGGCGAAGCAGGCCGGCAAGACGACTGGCCTGGGCGCCGTGAGCTCGACTGGCGCCACCCAGGGCGCTGCCCAGTCGCAGACGTCGGTGGAGACGCCCAACGGCAGCGCAAAACAGGCGGCCGTCGTCAACTCCGGCGTCGGCCTCACCGGCGTCTCCTCGGGCACCGGCCTGTTCAACCAGAAGGCGCACGGAAAGACAGGTAATGGGCAGGACAGGTGCGGAACAGAGAGGAATTAAAGGGCAGTACCGCCAAACGTTTTTAGCAAGAATCTGCTTTCGCACTGGCTTGTGACGTTTAAGTAGTGAGATTTGGTGGCGGGTTTCCATGAGATTGAAAGCCAGTCCACCATGTGACCAGACATGGGACTTTTCACTTCACCTGTTCTTCATCCTAGTGCGTTGCTGTCCTCTTGATCGAAAGAAGAGTTCATGAAACGGGCTAACGTTCCATGCCACCTTGATGAGCAAAAGACACCTCATAAAGTAGAGGATTAACATTCAACCGCTGTCAGCTACCTTATTACAGCCTCACAAAGTTAACGCCTCTGTTCTCCGACCATTGACCGTTCCTTTGCCTGTTCTCGGCAGCGGTGACCCGCACCGGCGAGAGTATCGACGTCACGTCCATCTCGTCCGGCCTGGGTGAGACTGACGGCGCCGCCGGATCCATCCAGAGCGTGGCCACCAACGGCGGCTTCACCGCAGTCGACACGCTCAACCTGAATCTGCCCGGCCTCGACCTGGGCAGCAAGGCCAAGGCCAGCGGCACCTCGTCCAGCGGCCACAAGGCCTCCAGCTCCGGACCGGGCCGCTTCATCACCAGCAACGAGGTCGGCACCGAGATCAAGCTGACGACGCCCGAACTGGACCTGGAGACCATCCACGTGCCGCTGCCCGCACCCACCACGAAGCCGCCCAAGGTGAAGCGGGGCAAGTGGTGATTGGTTCGCTCGTGAGCCGGGTGGCCGTTCACCGGTATCGGGTCGCGGTCGGCCCGAATCTCTGGACTCAGTGCGGTCGCCGCCGGTCGTCGGCCGATAGTTGGATAGACGATGGTGCCGGCCGGGGGACAGAGGGATGGACGCCCGGGATCGGGCGAATCTCCGGTCCCGGGCCCAGATCAGGCTGGTTATGGACACCGGAGGACCGAATAGTGTGTACGATAGCTGTGCTGAATATACAGAATGAATGGAACCTGCCAGTGCCTTCCGTTCTTTCTCATGCGCTATTTGTATGCTAATGTTGCGCTGCCGTTTTTCATGGTTGTCAACGTGTTTTATATTGCATTGCACAATCACCCAACCGACGGAAATAAACAACAGTGTAGATCATCATATAGAACAGGATTGGTTGAATGAACTACATACACAAATCCGATATATCGTTTGTAAATATGTTCAGTTATTTACGAATGACGCTTTCATGCATAAACATAAACAAATTGCAATTCAAAATGGTGGAAATTACAATGTGCGAAAACTCTCAGACTTGATAGCATACGACGTAGGCAAGCATACCTACTGCAAAAAAAGAACTGCATTTATCTGACGAAAACAATGATATTGATCAATGCATGTTTTGAATAAAAAGTGGAGAAGAAGTTGGCAAGCACAAAAACAGCATTGGGACGACTGGATGAAACATTTTCAATAACCAGTGCCTGTTTAATGTTTATATATATAATCCTTTAGGCAAACGCGCCGAAAACCCCAAACAGCATTAGTAAGATATTCATGAACATTTCATCATTCGTTTTCGACTGTCAGTTCTGCGACACGTGACATATGGTTGGCCCATGACAGCACGATCCTTGACCTCTAGGCTGAGTGACGTGACACCGTCACGACGCCCACGCCGTGACGCCCACAGCGTGACGCCCACAACGTGACGCCTACGTCGCGACCTCGTGACGCTGTCATCAAGCGGGTGTCATTGCGGTGTCATCTGATGTGACCGGCAGGCTGGCTGTCACGTGTCAGGTGACCTTAGCCTGTAGGTCACACAGCTCAGTCTCACAGGTCACGTGATCACTGGCTAGTGTCTTGACGTCATGTCATCGTGGTCATTCAACATCAAATGCTTAGGAGCTGAATACGCGATAGTTTATTTGTCTGAGCATCACGTGGTCAAGGCCTAGATTCTACAAACATATGTTGCAGTGCAAGAGTCGTGATGCCTATGAGTTTCTGGATGACAAGCCTGTAGCAGTCTGAATAGCACATTTTTCTTTTCTAAGGCGTGGAATCGGAAAGGACAGCTTTTAGGCATTTACTCACATTTACTTGCATTCTCTTCGATTTATCGCGTTAATTATGCATCAAATATTGAGCCAGCGTCATGGTATAGGAAAATACGTTATCTTCAGATTTTTATGAACCACCTTTTTGGCACTATTGCTTATGACATATCCCTTAGTTAGCCTGACATTGCGTGTTAGTCTTCGCACTTTTAGGGAATATCCCCCTAGGGCATATGTCCTAATACTTGTAAAATCAATTTTACATCCACCGTAAAAAAAAGAAATCCATGACCCTGATCCAAATAACTGATTATCTGTAACCTCTTTCTCAAGACTATGTCAGGCTAGAACTGCGATTTAACGTAAATTGTATGCTAACTCGTAAACATGCGGCGGTGACTTCTTGCGAATTTACAAACTTTTTGGATTTAAAACGTGTAAACATCTGAAATGATGGTTGTCCTGAACCGATTATGCTGGATGTCAAGGTCATGTGAAGGTCAGATCAAGGTCATTAACCTTAGGCGAGCTTGATTGGTGTTTACTCAAAAACCAAAAGGGATGCTTATTAGAGCCGTTTCAAATTGAATATCTATATTATTTGGAACTAGCTGTTGAGCGCATGCCACTTATTGTGGGACTTTCCGTGGTTATATGCACATATTAATAGGGGGATGCTAGTGGTTCAATGTTCATCTGATCTGATCTAACCTGCGTCCCGACCTATACCCCTATAAATGTAAGGTATTAAAAAACAATGTCCAGAATCAGATGCATAGATACATGATTGGTGAATAAAACGGAGAGAATTAAGAATAAAAAAATACAAAAAAATTACATGTAACACCCACTGGCCACTTAAACCCTCGCCGGACCTGTTGGTTTTCTACAGACTACATACACGCCGGCCGAGAGGGGGTGTACGACCCCCCTCACCGTTTCGCCCCTGGTGGAGCTAGCGCGTCGCAGAAAAAACGAGCGTATGCGCTGTTACGAGACGCAGAGATTGATCCCGATTTTAAGGTCCTGGGTCAACCGGTGACCTCTGAAGTCAGGCCAAGTGCCCCAAAGTACGGTTCCGTTTTTGGTGAATAACTTCGCAAAAAACGGCCGCAGAGATGCGATTTTGGCAGCATCGTGTTCGCCTCGCTCAGGCGCTTCGAATGACATACTTTTTATTAGGGTGAGGTCAACTTAGGGTGTTGACCTTAGGTCACGGTCAGGTCAGAACCCCTAGGTCACGAAATTAGTCGAAATAGGCCATGTCGCATATCATTGGATTCGGCAGGTCTTTCTGAGTCCAGTGGTGGCTTCCTGACTCGTTAGCTCAATTTGATCGGGAGTTATTGACGAAAAACTAATATGACCCTAATGACGTCATAAATGACGTCACGCAAGGTCAACATTGCAAAAGTAACGCATCTAACCTTACAAGGAGTGCACCAAATCACGGTTCTGTGTGATTGAGATAGTCGGAGATCGTTCCCGGTGCCAGAATAGCAGTTTTCATTTTTTCCCCATTGACTTTTATGGTGAGGTCACAAAAATGACCTGACTTCATGTGAACTTTAGGAAAAATCCGAGATATACAAGCTGTGAGACTCATAATGGATATTAGAATCTGGAAGTTTCATTCCCTGTGAAAGCTCCTCTGGCATTGAGGGCGTTGCGAAGTTGCGACATCTGAAGGCCGTGCCTCATTCCGAACCTCTTATGACCTATGACGTCATAAGAGGTTCGCTTATGACGTCATAGGTCAGTGACCTGACCTGACCCGAAAATGCAGTTGGTGTCAAAAGATCCGGCTTGAATTAAGGGCCATGCCAAGTTTCAGCTCTCTATCGCCAGCGTGTTCGGAGCTATCGCGAAAAAAAAAACCCTATTGGGGGCGACCGACACCCGCCCCCCCCCCCTCGGCCGGCGAGGGTTAAAACGTTTTAGCAGCTCCAGATTTTCTTCAGAATTTCTTCAGAATCAGACCTGACCTGGTATATCACCGAATGACCTACGACCATGAAATTGGATACCATCATACTATGCATTCTCGTCAAGGTAGAACGGTTGGGGATCTGCTCAACTCCCACTCTCAAACATTAGCCACCGTGAAATCGCGGATTGTGGTGAGAGTTGCTATAATGCATGTCTCGGAATCTGCATATCTATATGATGTGACGTTAGAACTATTTTGCGACTCCTCCACTTCAAGTCCTTGGAGAAAACATAGCTGCACGTCTTTGGAACAAAAGGCATATTCAAAATTGTATTGTATTGTATTCACATTGCGCAATCGTTCCATGGACTCATGGCTATTATGATTGACATGTCATGATGACGGGAGAGATGATAAAAACACACGCACTCACATAACATTCCATTCAGTCTGCGTCCGACAGCCAGCTAACCGCTGCTATACTGGTTTGTTATCAGGTGATCTCGGAGGTTTGCTCTAAACTGCCGCGGTCCCATATCTCGGAGACATTGCGGCAGGGTATTATACTCCGCGACGGCGGCGAACAGAAACCGCCGGCGGCCAGACTCAGAGCGTATCGCGGGCCTGTGGAGCTGGCCGGCCTGCCTGGTGTCACGGTGGTGAATATCACCGCGTGTCACCAGACTGCCGTGCAGTTGCTCTGGCTGGCCGGTGGACAGCATCTGCTTCAACAGGGTCATCGAGTGGTACCTGTACATGTTGGCGGCTGACATCCACCTCAGGTCCCTCAGTACGTCACTAATATGGTCGTATTTCCGACGTCCCGAGATGACACGTGCGCCAAAGTTCAGCAGCTTCTGCAGCCGAGCTGTCTGGGTGATGCCGCATACACCGTACACACTAATACAGTATCGTATGGCGGATAGCACGAGCGACTGTACAATGGTGATGAGCGTGTTTTGGGGGAGGGCGTGTCTGCTGTGGCTCAGTCCACTGAGTAAGCCAGTACAGCGCCGCACCACATCGCTGACATGCGCCGAGAACGTCATACTCCGGTCGAAAATCACGCCTAGGTTTTTGACCGTGCTCGATTCCGTAATAGTGGCGCCCATGAACTCCACCTGTATCTCGGGCATCGCACGGAGGTTCGGTCCAGTGCCCATGACAATGAGCTGGGTTTTGTTCGCATTCACCTTAAGTCCATTTTTCCGAAACCAAAGTGATAGAGCTGCCAGATCTAACTCTAAGTTGCGGACCATCGCGCCACTATCTCGGGGACTCCCAAACACCGCCATCTGTACATCGTCGGCATATTGCACTAAGCACCTGTCGTGCGCGACGTCTGCGTCCAGGTACAGGGGCATGTCTGCCGCGTAGATGGTATACAAGAGGGGCCCCAAGGCGGACCCCTGGTAGGTTCCAATGGGGTTTAACAACGGCTGGGAGAGCGTGCGACCTCTCTCGGGCGAGCAAATGACAACCTGTTGGTAGTGGTCTGCCAGATAGCTGTCGAACCAGCGTGTGTCCACATTATACTGCTGTAGCTTGATGAGCAGACGGTCATGCGGGATCACATCAAAGCATTTCGACATGTCTAACAGGCATAGTAGCGCCACCTGTCGGCTGTCCATCGCCTCGAATATGCGGTCGGTCATGGTTAACAGCGCCGTGTCGGTAGAGTGCAATGTCCTGAACCCATGCTGGCAGGATGGGAATAAGTGGTGGGTTGTAAAGTACGTGTACAGCTGCTCGTACACAATACGCTCGGTTATCTTGGCTATGGTTGGGAGAATAGAGATAGGGCGGTAGTTGGATGTCTCAGTGGATTTGGGTGTCTTTTGGATAGGATGAATGTAAGTAAGTTTCCAAGAACCAGGCACGGTGTGGGAAGCCAGACTGGAATTCACAATATGGGTGAGTACATGACAGATGTACGGCATGCACAGCTTCACGAACCGAACACACAGACCGTCTGCACCAGATGCTGAGCTGTTGCTCATCTGCGCCACTGTCATCGCCAGTCTCTCCGGCGTCACCGTGTGCACCGTAAACCGGCCGGTAGTCACGCGCGGCAGGCGCACCGGCAGCTCCGGCCCGGATGAGTCCACCTGGCGAGCGGTCTGCGTACCAACACTCGCGAAGTAATTGTTCATCGTGTCGGCGTCGGCAGTGGGCATAGGCCTGGATGGCTGCTTAGCCGAGATCACAGGCCGGATGGTGCGCCACAGCGAGCTCCGTCCCGCTGCCGCGATGCGCCGTTGTAGCTCCTCGCTGGTGTCTCGGCGGATGGCTGCCTTGACACGACGGTTCAGGTCCTTGTAGAGTGCCCTGTCACCGTCACGGAGAGCGGAGCGCCGCCGGCTCATCAGCTCCTTCGTAGCGTCGGTCACAGGCGGAGCGGTGGGATTGCGAGCCCTGGAGCGCTTGGCAGGAGCGAGCCTGTCAATAATCGGCAATGTCACACTAACAAAATAGTCCCACTGCGCCTCTGGGTCGGCACTCTCAAACACTGGAGTCCAGTCGGAGCTCTCCAGGAGCCTGCCAGCCTCAACTACGTCTAGTTTACGCCAGCACCTTGCCGTAAGGCTACAGTGCACCGGTCGAAAGGTCGGCACCGTCACGATCGCTCGCGTCCACCGGTGAGGGCTGAAGTCGCAGTGAAGTGTCCCAGAGCGCACAACACTGCCGTTGCTGCAGATCACGTCGATTGTGGATCCCGACGGCTCGTAGGTTGGACCACGAATATGCTGCTGCAGTGAGTAGGTGGAGAGCAGCTCCCTGAACCTGTTGGATGCGGTGCTATTGTTGTTGTCGTCCATGTTGATGTTGACGTCGCCGGTCATGAGTATGAGTCCGCTGTGCCGGGTCAGGATATGCTGCACCTGCCGCTCCAGCTCGTCTAGGTCGGCAGAGATGCGAGCAGTTGTCTGTACTGGAGGTCTGTACAGAGAGCACAGCATCGCCTTCCGCTTGCCCACGCGGATCTGGACCCATAGTGTCTCCAGCATAGATCCCTCAGTTTGACAGTCCGGGCTGTCAATCACCGTCACATCGAGGGCGTCGCGCACCAGCACAGCGACTCCGCCGTATCCACGTCCGTCCGGCCTGTCATTCCGTAGAATACGATAACCGGGGACGGGAATCAGTCGGTTGGGTGTGGCTGGCTTAAGCCACGTCTCACTCAGTGAAATAGAGTCAAAACCATGTTGTTCGATATCGTAGCGTAGTTCCAGTAGATGTGGCTTCATCGACTGCACGTTAATCGCGGCCACATACAGTTGCTCCGAGCGTGGTCGCGTCCTCCATAGCTGGCCTCCTCTGGAGCCGCGCTTGCGGCTTCTCACCCCTCGCCGGGTAGAGCTGGACGCGCCTCTGTCCTCCGCCCTCTGCCCAGCCGCCGGCGCGAACGAGGTCACCGGCCGGCCAGTGCGCTCCGCGGCCGGCCGCGGACGGGCGGGCCGGGTCTGTGCTACGTGTCGCGGCAGCTGCGCATCTCCGGCTGGATAGCCGGAGCGACCGGCCTCCGGACCAGGGCGTGTCCGGGCGTACGGAGCAGGAGCCGGCGTCGCCGCAAGCAGCAGCAAAACTACCAAGTATCCCAAGCAATGCCTTCGCCTTGCTATTAACCAGAATTCAAATATTGCACCCGACCCGTGCCATATTGTTCCTACCTTGCAGGTCAGATGAGGTGTCATAAAAGATTGGCAGCAGTTTTTCAACAGTTAATTCTCATAGAATTTGATCAAACAACTAAAACAACTTGACCCTATTAGTGGCAGGCTCCTGGCTACATATGGTCAGGCTCAACTTTTTGGATCGGCTGATATGCAAGGCAAACTTTGCGGCCAGGCTATGACCTTGGACTGGAGTAAAACTCCAAAACTGACTTTTGAAGTTAAATTATGAATGAATCATTCCGTCTCAACGAGGCAATTGCTGTCAAATCTTATGTGCAAGCTTTATATAAAACGTATTGCATATATTTCCAGAAATGCATCTATTTTGTTTTTATCCCTGGAGGTCAAGCATAAAAATACCCCAACATATAAGAAAATAATGAGGGTATTGAATATTTCCCTGTGATAGTGTAGCTTGCGCTATACACAAGATATTGAAACAATTTTTCTATAAACCTCAAAGTTGGGAAATGTTGAACTTTGATGAGCTCTGATGGTCGTACCTTTCACCTGTCCTAAATATAACCTGGGTACTTTCGTAACTAGGGGAGAGCGGGGCCAGTTGAACCACTTTTTATATATTGACATGCACAGCGAGATCTAGTTGTCATATCGAAAAATGCACAATGCCATGAAAAAATATGCTCTTTTGGCTTTATTTTAAGATATGTAAAATTATGTTTCAAACATATTTTGCTGCCAAACGCACGCTTATAAAACAGCTCTACACCCGTTTCAAATGACCCCGATGCGAGGGTCAATTGAACCAGCCCATGGGGTCAATTGCACCTATCCTTAACAATGGGATGTTTTCCTCTTTAAGGCCACTTTCTTAAGGAGATATTTTGTCCGGTTTACTTTTCCAAATGCTACATTCAATAGGTCGTTGGAAAGCTAAAAGTGCAAAGTTCCTCATAATAGGTGACATAAAGTACATAGACTATGGTAAAATGGGCGGATGAGGAAAATGAGAAATATCTCAGGCTATAGTGTGCTTTCAAGCAAAAGGCTGGAGAAAAAGGGGTCAAAAATTGAGCTCTATTAAACTACTATTTCAGTTTAAAAGCTCATTTCAAAGGTGGACTATTTCCTTTAATGTTTACAGCCCCTGAACAATAACCATTGCAAAGGTCACCGGGGTCCATTGAAACGGCCTGTGGCCCTGTTTCAACTGACCCTCAGAGAAGCGTTTCAATTGACCCCATCCGCTCCCGCCATCTCGCACGCGCCGTAAAGCACCTGTCAAACGAGCTGGAGGGACGGCATCATGCTGAATGAAGGGCCAAATAAAGTGTTATTCCGGAGCCAGGAGTTCTTCTTTCAGCAAACAAAGGTATATGAGATATCACAAAATATTCATAAAAACGATTTCTCCCAAACGCCCCTCAAAAACACAAAAACAAGTGTCAAATCAAAATTACCGTCCGTTTGCCGCCCAAACGCCGTTGACAAAGGAAGTGGTCGAGCGCGGATGCGCAGTGGTGTCGGCAACGCCATATGTTGCATACTGTTGAAAATAAAGCCATGTTTCATCTGACCCCGTGTTTCAACTGGCCCCGCTCTCCCCTATTCCTAACGACCCTTCCAAGGCATCATACAGCTAGTCACCACATGGACCAGGAGCCGAGATAAAGGCTGCGTTTTTACCGGCACCCCTACCGGCCCTACCTCATGTCGTAAATAAAAAATGCATGTATGTACACCTATCCCTCTCCCCCCTTCCTCCTCCCTCCCCCCCCCACTCGATGTATTACGATTGGACTACCGCCCTGTCGAGGGTCAATGGCCCGTATAAATAACTAGACTCGGACGGGGTGATTCGCCGTCCCTATAAGCGACTTTGTTAGCCTTCAACTTCGAAATTGGGTACATATCTACTCGTAGTAACGGAACAAAGGCTCGCTTTTGCTTGTACAAAGCTCTAGGTCTGTGCCCCGCTGTAACGCCAAGCCAAACAATTAGGAAACCCATTCTAAACATTATCAAAGATGGCATTTGACTTTATTTGAGACAGTGCAATATACATATTGCGGTATATTGTACGCGTAAAAATACTTAATCAACATCACATGCATCTACAGATGAAGTTCATCAGTGACCATTCTCGATCAGAAAATAAGCTGTATCAGCTTTGAAAAATCAGACACCGAAGTGCCACAGCAATGTGCTTGGCACTTGTTCTTCACACCCTAAGCCATCTGTTGGTGGTTAGCTTTGGCCAATGCCCTGCATCGTAGGTCCCTGCGTCAGGACAGATGGAGACGAATTCTCCCGATCATCTGCTCCCAGTGCCCTAATCCAGCTTCAGTCCCTTCAGCTTGAGTTCGGTCTCGGCCTCGTTGACCACCTTCAGCAGACTGTCACCGATTCCGGAGCCCTTGTGGCCGCTAGAGGAGGTGGCCGTGCCCTGCTTCTTCTCCTTGATCTTGATCACCTCAAAGTCATCGGTCAGGAAGTGGTCGACCTTGATTGACTTTTCTGTGACGCCTCCGTTGGCGTCTGCGCCCTGGACGATGGTGGCCGTTCCACCGGTGCCGGCTTTGCCAGCCGTCTTGGTCTTCACCTTAGTGCCGTCTTTGGTAGTTTTCACCTCTGCGAAGAAAATGGTAAAAATGGTATAATGATAAAATAGGTAGAAAAATGGTAGAAAATGGTCAGCATCCTGTGTGTACTCTATCTCAAACTTGTTTATTGCGGTGCTCATTTGCTTATTTGTTTATGACATTTTAAAAGATAATGCTGAATTTAAATCCGCTGATCCTGAAAAGGTATTAGAAAGGCATATGAGCGCTGGTAAATATTCTCATAGCCAGCAAAGGAGCCAGCTAAGAAGTGAGTTGGCTGTTAATCGAAGTCTTCTGCTAAAACAGTACACATCACAATATGAAAATCGAAACACCATAGGTGTCAGCTTGTAGGTATAGGACGCACCTGTGACACCTTTGACCAGATTTGTCAGGATGCCGTCGCCGGCGGTAGCTCCGGCGCCGGTCACCCCCGTGTTACCGACGGCCGCCTTCTTCACGATCTTGTTGGGCCCGACGACCACGCAGTGGACGGTGCCAGTGCCGCCGCTGGAGCCGGTGGTGGAGACCGCAGCGCCGCCCTTGGTGACCGCTGCCTGACCCACCTTGGACTTGATTTTGAGGTCGCAGGGAGGCGGCACCGGCGCGCACAGAGTCGGCGAGCTTAGAACTGCGACGAGCAATGGAACAGGGGAATAAATGAGAGGGTATTATGATATACGTCAGCGCTTCCCGTGCCGCAACGAATGAAAAGGGTATGCGAACAACAGAAGGTCAGCAGTAGGTAGACATAATTACCGCTATGATGCTATGGCAATCAACATGTTGCGTGATGCTAGATTTGCAGGACGGCAATGTACAGCATGATAAGCATGTTCATGATGCCTTTTTATGTGATTTCTTATCAACAAATTACAGATTGGTGCACTATTTTCACACTAGTGATGTACGCAGAAAAACGCCCATCTTCCCGCTCACCGGCGATGCCGACGGCGGCCCAGGCCAGCAGAATCCGTGGAGACACCATGGTGGCCGTGCGGTCAGTGGACGCGACAGGCCCCGTGTAGTGCGGCGCCGGCCGACCGACGGCCTTTTAGGGGCCGCCGGGCGCCCCAGCCGGTCACTGTGGGTAGCCGGCACCCACGCCTCGACCCGGCACCCTGGGTTCTGGGGACCGGGGCCCGCCCTCCCCTCCCCTCCCCACTGCAGTTGTCCATCAGACAATGGTGACGAATCCACACCAAGCGATGGGCCCCTCGGGTCACCGGAAAGGTCAGCCTGGGGCAAACTTCCGCGGGTGGCACGGTTAGGTGCTTTTGTGTGAAAACACTCAACACTTCGGCAATGAAACATTGCGTGTCATGGGTAGTCACTGTGGCAAATGCCTAGGTTGCATTTAGTAGCTTCATTGTGAGTTTTAGTTTTAGACGATTATGAAGACGAGGGTCTTGATTTGCATCACCTTGATTATTCAAGGTCTGAGTTTTGTTCCTGCCACACCATGTCTTTATTTGTGTACATAGTAATCTAGATTGCCACATAATTATAGAAGTAGCACACCAGCGATGAGTCATGTATCAATGGCATGTATTCAGCATGAATTATTTATGCTTCGGTTCAAAATACCAAATAAGCGATAACTACAGTAGCATGCAAATGATTCCACATTTAGATTTAGATAATATTTCGTATACAAAAAGTAATGATAATGATATAGTAATAACATTAACAATAACACTAATAATATTAATCTGATAATAATGAATTAATAATAAGAATGATAAAAACGTATGCTAGTATAGAGTGTAAGACTGAGTATTGAGTAAAGCACGAATACCAATGTTTAACACCACTCCAGGCTGGTGTGTTGCGTTACAGCATACCTACCACTCCAGGCTGGTGCGTTGCGGTACAGCATACCACTCCAGGCTGGTGCGTTGCGGTACAATATACTGCTCCAGACTGGTGTGTTGCGGTACAGTATACCACTCCAGACTGGTTTGTTGCGGGGGCATTCCATGTCAACCGGGACAGCCAAAATCGGCCACCTCTGCGATTTTGTTCAAACTTGGTATACTTGTTGGCTATTGGGTGAAACCTCTGAGGGTCAAAGGATTTTGTCATATGCCCTCGGGCTACAGAGATACAAGCCGCTAAACTTCTGCTTTTTTAGCAGAATTGGACGTGTATTGCAATCTTGAAAGATCTATAGCTTCAACTTTTTTGAAGCTATTAATTTCAAACAAACTGAAACGTGTACACAAGGAGTTATGCTAGTTATATTTGGCAATTTTCACATTTTTTGGTGATTTTGAATTTATCTTATTTTGAATTAATTTCTTAAAATCTAATTTGTGAAAAATGGGTACCCTTCGATTTTGCTCAAATTTAGATATTGTCTTCCACTACACGTAAGGCATACGTGCTGAGAAAATTAGAGTGGGCCAACGATAACTTTGGATGATATAGCAACAAGTAGTGCAACGTAGCACGGGCGATGGAGGGGGCTGATTTCGCGAACCCCACCTGTTTTTCGCCAGTAACTCACGCCATAATTATTATATTAACGCCAAACTTTCAGCATCTGTCCAGAATTGAATTGAAAATCCTCCCGTGCAAGCAATAGGTAAATCGGTCCACAACTTTTCTAGTAATAACGGTGTAAAGTCAAACATCTTGCCGGAGCGGCGCGGCGGCCGGCGCCGGCCGTTGCCGCCTGAATGGTAGACTGTGCCGGCGCGGGACGGTTCCATCTTTGCACTGCGCTTCTTACCGCTGATTATGATCGATTCGTGTCAAATTTTGTGTGAAGGCTTAAAAATGTACAGGCAATCTAATGTTAAAATAAATACGAAAATCAACTGGTAAAAATTGAATTATTAGGGTGCAAACACAATCTGTGGCTGAAACGTTTCCCGCGTCGGCCGATCCCCGTCTTTGCCGGCGACATCTTCTTACTCTTAGCACGCCACTAACTGCCAAATTCATGGTTAGATTAACTAGAGATTCTCATAACACTACAAATGTCGTATAAAGGAAGAAATAGGAAAATCGGCCGGTAACTCTTAGAGCTATGGGCGTATAAACGCAAAATAGTCACTATAGCAAATTTCATCACGATTAGCCTCATTTGATCTTGAAGATATTGATCTAGGGCCATGAAATTGGCACACGATAAAGTTCCCCACCGCCCCACCTACAATTCAAATTCCGTTTTTTTTTAATACCTTTTTTGGCTAAACCGGGCCTTTCTCCCCTAGCGCTGGGAGAGTCAGGCATATTTCCTTTTTGCAACCAAAGAGAGGCGTTGCCCGGAGAATGCCCAATTGCATTCTCCGGGCATTTGGGTAGCATTTGGCCAGTCGGCAACTGCCGTGAGGGCTGTACATATTTACGCGTGTTAGATTAGGTCAGGTCACGTCAGGTCAGGCTACTGTTAACGCCAGACCCCTTGAGACCCTAATTTTTCGCGATTACTTTTAAATGCGTGAAGGAATTTCAACCAAGCTCAGGACATGGCCGTTTCAAGACAAGCCGAAACTTTTACAATTTAGATATTTTATCGCCATTTCAATATTTCAGGCACTTGTCATTGACTCGTAATGTTAAATTTCGAGCAAGATTTTCATCCGGTGTGTAGAGGCTATCACCAGTCAGTCTGTGATACGTTATGACGTCACAGCTAAGCCCCGCCTCTGTGGTCTTGGCCTGCGGCGGTTTCGGGCCGGCGCGCGGTCACTCTCGCTGTGGCGGGGAGCGGGGACGGGCGACGGTCGAGCGGTGCCGAAAGCCGGCGGAGTTGTGCGTAGCGTCTTGGCTGACAGTGCCCAGAGAGCGACATGATGACTAAGGAGTCATAAATGCTCAATGCGCATTGCTTCTACAATGCTGATATGTTCGCTGATATATATATATATATATATATATATATATATATATATATATATATATATATATATATATATATATATATATATATATATATATATATATATATATATATATATATATATATATATATATATATATATATATATATATATATTTTTATAAGCTGCATATGACGGGCAGATGGCATATAACTGACATAAGGTTAGGAAATATTCACCTGTATTTAAAGCCTACGGCGTTGCAGATAATGCGATAATGGGATGTCGGATGTCACCAAGTAGCTGCCGATTTGTACATCGCTATGCAACCATCGAACAACGCAATAATAAGTTAATTGCCTGAGCTTCACATCATACGGCTCGCTCGTATTTCAAACAGATACCCTACATCGAAAATCGTATTTGTTAGGAATCGTTAACGTTTGTTCGAAGCACGACTGAGTAGTAGGTTGAGGAGTGATGGTCCTCTTGGTCCTATATACAAGAGTCAACAAGAGCCTAACATTTACTTGACCGTCTGCTGCAATTGACTCATAGCACGTGAAGCGTCAGCGAAATTCATAGTCCTTCACAGATGGCAGGGGTGTCGTTTGCACAGAGGTCGCTGATGGGCACGGGTCAATGCCGCAGTCGTGGGCGGAGCCTAATGTCATATGACGTAGAAAGCCTCTATCCAGGATGGAAAAACAGTTAACATTACGAGTCAATGACAAGTGCCTGAAATATTGAAATGGCGATAAAATATCTAAATTGTAAAAGTTTCGGCCTGTCTTGAAACGGCCATGTCCTGAGCTTGGTTGAAATTCCTTCACGCATTTAAAAGTAATCGCGAAAAATTAGGGTCTCAAGGGGTCTGGCGTTAACAGTAGGTTTGCTTTGGTTTAGGGTAGAGAGAAGCATCTCGGGTAGCGCCTCTCCTTGGTTGCTAAAACGAAACACGCGAGTGCCAGACATTACGAAGACCAAAAGACAGTTACGTAGACGTCGGCCCATTCTGGATTTTTTATATGATGTAGCTAATGTATGGGAGAATAAAATATGTAAAAATCAGCAAAATTAAGGGTACCCATTTTTCAGAAAATCAAAATTTATTTTTGATTTTTAATTTAGTTCATTAATTAGCCTATTACGTCAATATTGTTATCCTCAAATTAAAGCCTGGTCTATTTCCTCCATTTCACACTTTGTCTCATGGTGATATGTCTAAAACTTCAATGGTTATGACGCTTTAGAGATGATAATGTGCCTTGCCTAAGTCAATATTTGATGACGTGTATCTCTGAAACGTGACGTCATATCTTTACAAAAACATGTCTCCCTTCTTTTCACATATAGATGAGTAGTTTCACAAAGTTTCGCAAAAATCGGAGGAGGTGAGGTTCAAAATGGTCATTTTTTGTCTCACTTGACGTGGAATGCCCCTCCGGTACAGTAGACTGGTGCGTTGCGGTGCAGTATGCCAACCCAGACTGACGTGTTGCGGTACAGTATACCACTCCAGGCTGGTGTTAACCTACTGTTTTTAATTAACCTTCCAGGCAGTGGGAGGGGGGGCATTTTTTGCCCCCCCCCCCCCCCTTAGTTTTTCGATATATCTCGAGAACCGCTGCGCCGATCGTCACCAAACATTCAGTACCAAAAAACTTTTTCCAAAGGCTATGATAGGTTGGCCGCTAATGACGTCAGAGTGACGTCATTTTTGCCATTTTCGACCCAAAAAAAGGTTTCGCGGGAAGAGCTGTCAGGTCTACAGCTTTAGAGATACAGAAAAATATTCCAACATAAAAGGTGTGGAATCAAAAGGGCTACAAAACTGCTATTTCGGTTTTTCGATTTTTTTGGGGTTTTGACCCCCAAAAATAAGAAAATAGATTTTTTGAATATAATAGCCGAAAAATCCAAAAGGTTTTTTGAATTTCGAAAAAACTGAAATATATGTGATAGTCCCTACCGCCTTCTATCTACATACCAAATTTGAGATCAATACCTCTTTTTTTGCCAAGTTTTAGCGAAAAAACTGTTCAAAATTGATGACGTCAAATTTTCTAACTCAATTTTTTAGCAATTCTAGACCTCGTAGCGCAGAGGAAAGACCACCATTAGACTCCCCGTGACGAGCTGCATCGAATCGATACCCATTTTATGCAAAAATATCAACTTTGAAATTTGACCTTTTTTGACCTGACCTTGACCTGACCTCCACAAGAAAGTGACCTAAACCGTACCTGATGGTCTCATAACAAATACCATTGAG